GGTGTAGCTCAGTGATACAGCATGGACTTAGCATGCATAAGGTCCTAGGTTTCATCCCAGCACCACAGAAAAAATAATCAAGATTTTCAAAATGGAAACTCATTACTACCACAGCTCCATATGAGTCTCTTTAGGAATGCAGGGGAGCCCACCTTCTGCAGGTGCTTGGAGAGACTGTATCAGGTGACCTCCCCAGACAGCCTATGTGACCATGCCTCTGGTGTACACCTGGTGCTGCAGACCCCCACACAGCTCAATGATGTTAGTATAGGACTAGTTCTCAGGGGCCTGGAGACTCTGCCGGCTCAGCCAGGGTTCACCTAAACTGGCCTCTGCTGTTGTCCTCTGCACCAGGATATGGCTAGCACCTAGGGCTGAGTAAACCCAAGTGCCAATTTACCCTCTTCTTTTCGAATCCCGAGTAGAGACTTGGTCTCCTGTTTCCATGTTGTACTTGAATTCATGCCAACATCTCCACTGGCCTTTCCTGAGTCTGGGAAAAAACTCTACCATTCAATCTGTTTAGAAACTGGGTTGTAGAAAGTTCTGGAAGGAAGGAACCAGAGCAGCCAAAGCCACCACACTTGGCTTCTGTGTGGCTTTAGAGCAGAAAACCTGGCAGCAGGGCTCCCAGAGCACCCTACCCAGGCCCAACCCTCCATGGAGCCTTGTCCTCCAAACCACTCCAGGACCCCAGACCCATGACTGTGCTTGAAGGGACTAGTTGCAGCTGAGAGCAGGAGTCCAGCACTGCTCAGGCCCCTCTGTCCCACTTCATTTCTGTACCCTGTAATCGCACTTTGTGGACAACCCTGGCCAAGCCCTCAGCTGTGAGGTCTTTGCATCCAGTAGCCCTGGATGTACCCTATGACTCATTCCTTTAACAAGGAATTGGGGGCTGAGGCTCTTACACACTTTTCTGATCACTCAGATGCATCCCAGCCCTGCTATTCCATAGACTACATGGCATTTCTGTTTCTGGCACTATTTGCCCTGAAGAAAGTGCCATCTATTACGGAAGATCAGGCAGGTAAATAAACATTCAAAGACTGTAGCCAAAAAAAACTGGGGCCTGAAAACACATTTGAGACCAGAGTTTCGGGGCTGGGGTTGTGTCTCAGTGGCAGAGTACTCGCCTTATACATGTGAGGCACTGGGTTCCATCCTCAGCACCACATAAAATAAATAAATTAGTAAAATAAAGGTATTGTGTCCATGTTCAACTAAAACATTTTTTAAAAAAAATACCAGAGTTTCATATAGAAAAGAATGATAAAGGTGTGATCAGGATTTTGTCTTGAAAAATGAAACTATTATTTAAAAAGTATCTCTTCTAAATTAATTGACAATCATATTTTGAAAATTATTTTTAATTGTCAAAATTGTATATATTTATCACACAAATGATGTTTTGAAATATATATACATTGTAGAATGGCTAGATTAAGCTATAACAAAACATGCATTACCTCATTATCATTTTTTTGTGTAGTGAGCATGTTGTACAGTATATCTCCAGAACTCACTCCTTCTAATTGAAATTTATATACTTTGACAAACATCTCCCTGATGTTTTGTTAAAACAAATATCTTTCAACAAAATGTAATTGCATTGAGCTAATTCTTAGAGCAAAAAGACTATTTGAGGTTTATTTTCCTCCCCAGATTATATTATTGGACAATAGGACATCATTTCATGTTCACGTATCTAACACTGGATCATTTTTGCAAAAGTTAGTTGAGGCCTTCAATTTCCCTCATAATCCTTTGACTTTGATATCCATATTTTCCCCTACAAAGCATATATATGTCCCCTTCATTTGTTAATGGACTCTTTCAGGTCCTTCTGCCAATGGCTGCACTCATTGTAGCAGTTCTCCAGAATCACTTCCCTTGACTTTATGAAATGCTGTATGTTTTACAAAACTTAAATTGTATCTTGGCAGCTGGGCACCTGTAGTCCCTACTACTCAGGAGACTGATATGAGAGGCTCACTTAAATGTAGGACTTCAAGTCCAGCCTGGGCAACATAGATAGATCCTATCTCAAAACAAACAAACAAGCCAAACGTACTTTGGCACATTTTGTTGTATTTTCGGTGTCAGACATGTCCACCATCTCAAAGTGCATGATAGATGAGATGGCAGAGCAGGTTCTGTGGATTTAGAGTGTTGAGCATGTTTATATGGAGAGTTGCTTGGAGAATACTTTCCATGTCCAATGCCTTCAGCTTTCCTCCACAACCTATTGGTTACAGGAACTTAGATAATGATTAGTTAGCTACAGCTCAGAGGAAGAAGGGAATCCATTGACAATTCTGCCCAGGGAGCCTGTCTTTGAGGAAAGGAACAGTGTAAAGTTAGGCAGCAGCGACCAAAAGGAGGCAGATTTAAAAAGGCTACTGAACAAGGCTTTATTGAGATTTTGCTCCTGGGAAGGACCCTCAGACCAACAGAGTGGGTCTAAGGAGAAGCACTGTTGGGGCTTGACCATACTGGAATTTTTATTGGGCTTAGAGCAGGAAGGGAGGGCTTGGGACAGGAAAGGGGGTTTTTAGAGTCCCTTGTCCTACTGGAGTTGGTTGGGGGAGCTGGCTAAGATCCAGGATTGGCCAGGAGGCCACACTGATTGACAGGAGGTATGTCAGTGCCTGATTGGTGTTTCTTAAAAGCCTGGGTTGCTTGGTGCTTTGTTCCTCAGCCACTTCCATCCACCTGACAAACCACAGTGACTTCAACAGATGGCCATGTTTGGTCAATGTCAGTGCAGAAGGGCAGGGTTGGGAAACTGAACCAGACTGCACAGGTTATTGAAAATGGGAAGGCAGGAACTACCTGTTAAAAGTTTAGGCCAGGGGCTGGGGATGTGGCTCAAGCAGTAACATGCTCACCTGGCATGTGCGGGGCGCTGGGTTCAATTCTCAGCACCACATAAAAATAAAATAAAGATGTTGTGTCCACTGAAAACTGAAAAAATAAAAAAAAAATTTAGGCCAAAAAAATGTCCCATGTCAAGCCAAACACTGGTCTTCCTTCTACAGCTAGCTAAGGTTTCTGAACTGAGAGTAGATTGAGACAGTGATATCAGTTAACATTTATTATGGGCCAGGCACTATTTAAGTATTTCCCATGAATCAATACTCTTAGGGCTGGGGATATAGCTCAGTTGGTAGAGTGCTTGCCTTGTATGCACAAGGCGTCCTGGGTTCAAGCCCCAGAAACACACACACACACACACACACACACACACACACACGAGTGCTTTTAATCTCCTATCAGCCTAGCAAGGTAGATACTATTATATCTTCATCTGAAACTAAGGCAACAGCCTGTTGAGTTGTGAAGGCCCCTTCCTTGCCCAAGGTCAGCAGAACCATCGTTTGCATCTGTGCTTCCAGAGGTTGGGCTCCCAAAAAAATGCACTAAAGTCTCCCCTGAGTCGGGTCAGCTGGGAGTGATGTAGTGGGGCTCGGAAGATGAGTTAGGAGAGGCAGTAAGAGGCCATGTGCATGACAAGAGGCCTCAATCATGGGAGAGAGCCCAAGAGCAAGAGCAATTCCAAAGGAGCACTGAATTTGAAAGTACCAATGCTATTATGTTGGACTGACACAGACACATTTCTTTCCAAACCTCAGAACAGGATTAAATTATGCATAAAGCAGTCCACCTTGCAAGAAGGAATCAGCTACTCACTGAATTTCACTTTGATTCTTAGGCAGAGCTTCTGTGTCTAGCTAGGGACAACCTCATTTAAGACCAGTTTGCAGCAGACACCAATTCCTCAGAGCTTCTGACAGCCTCAGTCTGGTAAAGTCACAACTTTAGTTCCTGTCCAGGAAGTACCCACATGTCCCTGGCTCTTTGTCACTCATTATACAGGAGCCCTGACCCAGGTGGTAGGACCTGCATTCCAGCCCCTTTACTTGCTTATCTTGGGGTAAGTTTGACTGCTGTGCTATGCTTTAGTTTAACATCTGTGAGGATGTTTATTCAATATGCTCATGGGATTGTTGAAGATCAGTGAAGAAATTCATCAAGTTTCATAAAGTCTGGCTGGTCTACCTAGTGTGAGGAGGGGCATCCTGCCAAGCTGGCTCTGTGACTGACCTCCACTCTCTACCTGCCTTCCTGTGTGGTCTCTGTGGAAGGCAGAGGGGATCTGTTCATCTGCCATGCAGCCTGTCAGTTCCCTGGCAAAGGTTCCCTCTGACGTGTACCTGCCAAACCAGAGAGGCTCATAGTCAGTTCTCTCAGTGGGAGATGGAGTGGGTGGGAGATGCTAGGGAGCAGTGAGTAGTGAGCAGTGAAATGTAAACCAATGACAGGACCAGGTCATGGGTTTTTCTTTAAGTTACATTTAAAGTTTTCTTTAAGTTACTTTTAAGACAAATAGGTAATCAGATAACAGAAAATAACAGGTGTGCAGATCTTGAAAAATAGATAGGAACAAGGCAAGCAATTAAGAAATAGGTCCAGAAAGAAAGATTAATGGAACTATTACTAACTGTTGGCAGGATCAACTGGGGTCATTGTAAAGCTAGAATTTATGGCCACCAGTGTCTCAATATATTTCAGAAGAGAAAGTTTCTTAGTAATGCAGCCCCACTGCGGTATATTCTGTCTGGTCATTGATCCCAATACTCACATTAACATGAGATTGACTTGTAGATGACAATCCCCCTGAATAGGATGGCCACTCTATTCAGGATGGCCAAGTAGGGTCAAAAATTCCACTGCCTGATGTGAAGGAGGAATTAAACATATGACTATCAAAGAGTGCTGAAGATGGACCCCAGTTTCAAGGCAACCACAAACTCCAATAAATTTGGAGACAGGGGACTGGGGCTGTGGCTGAGCAGTAGAGAGCTCACCTAGCACATGTGAGAGGCTGGGTTTGATCCTCAGCACCACATTAAAAAATAAATAAATAAATAAAAATAAAGGTATTATGTCCAACTACATTGAAATAAATAAATAAGATAAAAAATAAATTGGCAGGCTGGGGTGGTGGCTCAGTGGTAAAGTGTTTGCCTTGAATGCATGAGGCCCTGGGTTCGATTCCCAGCACCACATAAAAAAAATAAATAAAAATTAAAGATATATGTCCATCTGCAACTAAAAAAAAATATTTAAAAAAATTGAAGACAGCACTGTTTTCATTTGTTGTTCTCTGCTGGAAGATGACCTACTCTCTTGAGAGTGCTCTTTGTTTGAGTCTTACTTTACTTTTATAATAAAGTTCTCTTGCATGGCTTTCAGTGTCTGCTTTTAATTTTTCTTTCTTTGGAACATAATAACTGAGGTTTGGAGCTTCCATTCCCCACTCTCCTGTGACAACTACCCTGGTGATAGCCATCTACATGACAGGTATTTGAACCTCACCTTGTTCCTCTTCCAGCTTTGGAAGTCTAACTTAGCCTCTGATATCTTGCCTTTTGCTTTGGGCTTCTTTGTACACTTTCCTCTTCCATGTCACACCCGTGCGGTTTGTCTTATGTCATCTGTGTTATGTTTGTTCAGCTTTTCTGGCAATCCTTTTTTTTTCTTTCCTGCTAACATACAGACCTACACCCCTGTTGCTTTTTGTGGCATTTTTTTTTTGTGTGTGTGTGTGTGCTGGGGATTAGAACCCAACTGAGCTATATCCCCAGCCCTTTTTTTAAAAAAAAAATTAGATGTTGATGGACCTTTATTTTATTTATTTATTTATATGTGGTATTTAGAATCAAACCCAGTGCCTCACACATGCTAGGCAAGTGCTCTACCACTGAGCCACAATCCCAACCCCTATCCGCAGCCCTTTTTGTGGCATCTTTTTGAGCAAGGCCACCAGAGGACAATGAGACTCCACTGTGGGGCTATTGCCTTATGCTGTTTACCGGACTCTTTTCAGTAAGAGCATCACACCACCTTCTTTTAGAGTCTATGATCAGAATCTGGAGGGCAATAAGTTCATCATCTTTACCCATTTACAAATCACCTCACTGAGCACTAGTTAGTTTAAGAGGACAAACCACTCAGGTGGCCCTGGGTCAACGAACCATTGAGTACCACTTTCTTTTTTTTTTTTTTAAC